GGGGAAGGGGAGGGGGGGGGATCTTCTCCGTCTGTCTCCAGCTCCTTCAGCGGCTCCGACCCTCGTTAGCCATTTCGGTCACGCAGCCCGGTTGTAAATCCGCCGCCAGAACCGCGGTGCCCCCCACTCCCGACACACAGCCCCCTGACCCCCCAGCCCTGCCGGTGCCCCCCACTCCCGACCCGCAGCCCCCTGCCCCCCCGGCTCTCCCCCCCAGCCCTGCCGGTGCCCCCCACTCCCGACCCGCAGCCCCCTGCCCCCCCAGCTCTGCCGGTGCCCCTCACTCCCCCTGCTCTGTTCGATTCTCTGCTGAGACCTGGAAGCTCATCACACCGGACGCTGGTTTCTCTGTGGTTCTCCCAAGTCTCCGCTCCCTTTTTCTCCCCCACCCCGCCGCCTGCTCAGGGTGAATGTCCTGACAACCCGGCGGTCTGGGAGGGGGAGGGGCTCCAGGGTGTCACTCTCCATAGCTGATCCCTGTCTCCCCCCAGGTGCCCCCCCAATGGGGTAGCTGGACGGGGGCCCATGGGCAGCGCCCCACCCAGGAGGCGGCGTCAGCAGGCAACATGCCCAGTGTCCTGGGGCTCCTGCTGGCCTGGCTGGGGGGTTGCGGCTGCGCCGGACGCCTGGGTCCCCCCTGGCCGGGCTCCCGGGGGGCCCCACCCCAGGGCTGGGAACGCCCCCTGCTGAGATCCCGACGCAGTTGGGTCTGGAACCAATTCTTCGTCATCGAGGAGTATGCCGGCCCTGAGCCTGTCCTCATCGGCAGGGTGAGCACCCGGACACCTGGGTCCTGTGGGTGGAGGAAGGGCCCAGATACCTGGGTCCCATGGGTCGGGGGAGGGCCTGGACACCTGGGTATTCTGGAAGGGATGCGAGCCGGGGTCTTGTGATTAGAGCGGGTGTGGAGCTGGGAGCCAGGACTCCTGGGTTTTATCCCCGGCCCTGGGAGGGGAGTGGGGTCTAGTGGTTAGAGCATGGGCGGCTGGGAGCCAGGACTCCTGGGGTCTCTGCCTGGACAGGGCCGGTGCTTACACTAGGCGACCCTAGGCAATCGCCGAGGGCGGCAGGATTTGGGGGGCGGCATTTTGCTGCCCTGAGCGGAAAAAATCAGTGGCGGGGGGTCCTCCTGCTCCAGGTCTTCGGTGGAAATTCGGCGGCAGGCCCTTCACTCACTCCGGGACCTGCTGCCAAAGCGCCCCGAAGACGCGGAGTGGAAGGACCCCCCTCCACCGAATGCTCTGAGGAGGAGATGCTGCCTAGGGTGGCAAAAACCCTGACACCGCTCCTGTGCCTGGATCTGGGAAGGGAGCGGGTCCTTCAGAGGGCCGCAAGCCCGGACGCCTGGGTCCTACACGCCCCTCTCCCCCCAGCTGCACTCGGACGTGGACCGGGGTGAGGGGCGGGTCAAGTACGTGCTGACAGGCGAGGGGGCTGGGACGGTGTTTGTGATCGACGAGCGGACGGGGAACGTGCACGTGACCAAGACGCTGGACCGGGAGGAGAAGGCCCAATACACGCTGCTGGCCCAGGCCGTGGACCGGGCCTCGAACCGGCCCCTGGAACCGCCCTCCGAGTTCATCATCAAAGTGCAGGACATCAACGACAACCCACCCGTCTTCCCGCACGGCCCCTACCATGCCACTGTGCCCGAGATGAGCAACGTGGGTGAGTGCGCCCGCCTGGGCCAGCCTACTGGTGCCCCTCACTCCCGAGCCGCAGCCCCTGCTAGCCCCCCCCGCCCGGACAGTGCCCCTCACTCCTGACCCGCAGCCCCCTGCTAGTCCAGCCCTGACCCCGCAGCTCTGCCGGTGCCCCACACTCCTGACCCGCAGCCCCCTGCTAGCCCTGCCCTGCCCCCGCAGCTCTGCTGGTGCCCCACACTCCTGACCCGCAGCCCCTGCTAGCCCTGCCCTGCCCCGCACCAGCTTTGCCGGTGCCCCTCACTCCCGACCCGCAGCCCACCCACCTCACTGTGCTCTCCCCCCAGGCACATCCGTGATCCAGGTGACGGCCCATGACGCTGACGACCCGAGCTACGGGAACAGTGCCAAGCTGGTGTACATGGTGCTGGAGGGGCTGCCCTTCTTCTCCGTCGACCCCCAGAGCGGTACGGGCAGACGCTGCCAGGGCAGGTGTGGGGGGGTGAAGCCTGCTGGGGGGTTGGGATGCAGATGGGCCATATGGGGTTGGTGTTGGGGGGGGGAGGAAGTGGGGGGACAGCTGGCTGGCTGGGACACCTGCCCCTGATCATGGCTTCTGTGGCCTCCCTGTGTGTGTCTGTGAGTGTCCTCCCTCAGCAGCAACCTCTATCGCCTCATCCACCCGTCCGTCCGTCCATCCAACACCCCACCCATCCATCCACTCATCCGCCCGTCCATCTATCCGTCCATCCGTCCAACGCCCCACCCAGCCAGCCAGCCAGCCGTCCATCCATCTACCCGTCCATCCGTCCGTCCGTCCCTCCACCCATCCGTCCAACGCCTCATCCACCCGTCCATCCGTCCAACGCCCCACCCAGCCAGCCAGCCGTCCATCCGTCCATCCCTCCACCCGTCCGTCCAACGCCCCAGCCAGCCAGCCAGCCATCCATCCATCCACTCGTCCGCCCGTCCATCTATCTGTCCGTCCGTCCAACACCCCACCCATCCATCCACCCATCTGTCCGTCCGTCCATCTGTCCGTCCACCCAGCCATCCACCCGTCCGTCCATCGCCTCATCCACCCGTCCGTCCGTCCATCCGTCCAACGCCCCACCCATCCATCCACCCAGCTGTCCATCCATCCACCGTCCGTCCATCCGTCCATCCACCCGTCTGTCCGTCCGTGCAACGCCCCACCCATCCATCCATCCAGCCGTCCAGCCATGCATCCATCCGTTCATCCGTCCATCCATCCGTTTGTCTGTCCATCCATCCATCCACCCACCCGTCCGTCCATCGCCTCATCCACCCGTCCATCCGTCTGTCCAACGCCCCACCCAGCCAGACAGCCGTCCATCCATCCACTCCTCCGCCTGTCCATCTATCTGTCCGTCCGTCCACACCCCACCCATCCATCCACCCACCCAGCCGTCCATCCATCCACTCATCCGCCCGTCCATCTATCCGTCCATCCGTCCAACACCCCACCCATCCAGCCAGGCAGCCGTCCATCCATCCACCGTCCATCCATCCATCCACCCACCCGTCCGTCCATCGCCTCATCCACCCGTCCATCCGTCTGTCCAACGCCCCACCCAGCCAGACAGCCGTCCATCCATCCACTCCTCCGCCTGTCCATCTATCCGTCCATCCGTCCAACACCCCACCCATCCAGCCAGGCAGCCGTCCATCCATCCACCGTCCATCCATCCATCCACCCACCCGTCCGTCCATCGCCTCATCCACCTATCCGTCCATCCGTCCATCCGTCCAACGCCCCAGCCAGACAGCCGTCCATCCATCCATCCACCCGTCCATCCGTCCATCCATCCCTCCACCCGTCCGTCCAATGCCCCACCCAGCCAGCCAGCCAGCTGTCCATCCATCCACTCGTCCGCCCGTCCATCTATCTGTCCGTCCATCCAACACCCCACCCATCCATCCATCCATCCATCCATCCATCCATCCATCCATCCATTCATTTGTCCATCCGTTCGTCCATCCGTTCGTCCATCCATCCATCCACCGTCCGTCCGTCCATCCCTCCACCCATCCGTCCAATGCCCCAGACAGCCAGACAGCCGTCCATCCATCCACTCGTCCGCCCGTCCATCTATCTGTCCGTCCGTCCGTCCAACACCCCACCCATCCACCCACCCATCCATCCATCCATTCATTCGTCCATCCGTTCGTCCATCCATCCATTGCCCCCTTGGTCTCTAACTGCTCCCTCTCTCCCATGGCAGGCGTGGTGCGCACTGCGATCCCCAACATGGACCGGGAGGCGCAGGCTGAGCTGCTGGTGGTGATCCAGGCCAAGGACATGGGGGGCCACGCTGGGGGGCTGTCGGGGAGTGTCACTGTCACTGTCACCCTGAGCGACGTCAATGACAATCCGCCCAAATTCCCCCAGAGTAAGAGATCCCCTGTCTCCCCCCAGGTCCACAGTAGCCCATCTGCGGCCCCTGTACCAACACCCCTGTCCCTCCTCCACACCCCTAGACTCCCCCTCCTGCCCTGCTCATGTACTCAACCCCCTGCCCCCCAACCCAGACCTGTGCCCCCTTTTCTTCCTCAGCCCCTGGACCCAGCCTCACGTATCACCCCCAGATCTTACCACCCACCCTGCCCACCCTGTATCCCCAAGCGACTGTGCCCCCAACCCTCTCTACCCCAACCCCATTTCCCCAACCTGCCCCACCCCCAAAACCACAATCCCTGTGCCTGTGCCCCTCCCTTCGCCTTTAACTCCTCCCCATCACGCCCATCACTTCCCCTTCCCTCCCCTCTCCCTCGCAGCTTCCCTCTCCACCTTTCACCTCCCTTCTGTTTACTGGGGGGGCACTGGCTGTGTGTGGGCTCCCAGTAGGGTGTGCTATGGGGTGCACGGGGCACTGGCTGTGGGGGGGGGGCTCGCAATGGGGAGGCTGTGGGTCGCAAGGCAGAAGGTGCTGGGGCAGGGGCTGGCTCAGGGGCGTCTCTCTCTGGCTGACCCCCGGCCCCCTGGCAGATTCTTACCAATTCTCGGTGCTGGAGACGCTGCCACCTGGCTCTCCCGTGGGGCGGCTCCGGGCCCACGACCCGGACGAGGGGGACAACGCGCGGCTGAGCTACCGGCTGCTGGACGGGGATGGGCCCTTCGCCATCAGCACTGACCCGCTGGGCCGGGACGGCATCCTCACCATCAGCCAGGTGCGCTGCCCGGACGCCTGAGTCCCAGCGAGTCACCCACCTGGACGCCTGGGTCCCCACGAGCCTCCCAGGAGCCACACCCACCTGCTCAGACGCCAGGGTCCCCACAAGTCCCCTCCCCTCCCCCAGACCCTGGGGTCCCCACCCCACTGCCCAGAAGCCAGGGTCCTGCCCCAGCTCCCCCATCTCATCCAGACCCAGGGGTCCCATCCAGCTACCCCCCGTCCCCAAGGTCCTGTCGAGCTACCCAACCCCATCCTGCTCAGACGCCGGGGTCCCACCGTGCCATCCCTGTCTACCTGTCTTGGTGCCCCGTTTCCCTACCCCCATTCCCGGATGCCTGGGTCCCTTTGCCATTCAGCTGCCCAATGGCCCCTTTCCCAGGCTGGAGTCCTCCCCTTGGGGCTGACTGCTAACCCCCCCATCCCGTCCCCCCTCGAGACCGGCTGCTAACCCCCCCGTCACCCCCCTGAGACTGGCTGCTAACCCCCCCGTGACCCCCCCAAGACGGGCTGCTAACCCCCCCCGTCACCTCCCCCGAGACTGGCTGC